GCCACCATTTCCAAGCTTGCAACCACTCAACATGAGGAACAGGACACTCTGAGGCCAAACACTGCCTGCCTGGGGCTTGCAGACCTTTGAGAGTTTTTAGGAAAGTCTGCAGAGAGAGCAAGACCAGCTGACTGTCGCTGAAAGTTGTTCATGTAGTCTGCGAGTTGTGTAGGGCAGTGTCTCAGGAAGTCACCAGAGTGGGGTGAGTGGTTAATGCAGATTCAGATTTGGTACCTGGCCACATTTGCTGGCTGTGTGTGTGGGAGGTCTCAACACAGGAACAATGGTGCCCACTTGTGCCTACAAGCTATGTGGGAGGAGGGCTCAACCCTACAACAATGTTAGCTGCCCCTCCAGCTCTTGCCCTGAAGCCACATATGTCCCTGGCACCTTTCAAGGTGTTGTCCCTTTGCTGGAGCTTAGGGTGAGTGTTTGTGAGAAAGTGAGTCTATGTGTGGGCCCTTTAAGAGGACATCTGGGTTTCCAGTAGCCCTCTGTGTTACCCAGGCAGAACCTATGTTGATTTTTTACATCAAGATATTGTGGGACTCCTCTTCCTGGCACTGGTACCTTGGACTGGGGAGCCCAGTGTGAGGCTAGGACCCCTTGCTTCTCATGGGGGACCTCTGCAGCTGAGATATCCCTCCCAATTCTCAACCACCACATGTGAGTGTGGGACCAGTCTGTTTTGTGTTTCCACCCCTCCTACTAGTCTCGATGACATGGCTTCTTCTTTATATCCTTAGTTATGAGAGTTCCATTCAGCTAGTGTTTAGATAGTTCTCTAGGTTGATCTATAATTTAGTTGTAATTTTGATGTAGTCATCGGAAGAAGGGAGCACAGTGTTTACCTACTTGGCCATCATGACTGAAAATCATATATTAAAATTTATCATAGTTATGTATGTATAGGAAAAAACATTATATTTAGGGTTCGGTACTATCTGTGGTTTCAGGCATCCATTGGGGGTCTTGGACCACATTCTCCATTGATAAGGGGAGAATACTGTATATACATACCTATGATAAAGTTTCATTTATAAATTAGGCACACTAAGAGTTTATCAACAATAGCTAATAATAAAATAGAAAATTATAACAATAAAATAAGTTACTTGAACACAAGAACTGAGATATCAGGACAGTCTATCTGATATCTGATGGATGGATGGATAACATACATAGCATGGATACGCTGAACCAAAGGATGGTTCATTTCCCAGGCAGAACAGAGCTGATGGCACAATATTTCATTACACTACTCAAAATGGTGCATAACTTAAAACTTATTAATTTTCTTATTTCTTGACTTTTTCATTTAATATTTTCAGACTGTGGTTAACTGAGTATCACTGAAACCATGGGAAACAAAACCTCAGATAAGGAAGGACTACTGTATTTTGCATCCCACACTTTGGGAAATGCTGCATTTCACATTGCTTGTTACCTTGAGATTGCTAGGGGAAAACCAGAAGTTACTTTTAAGGATTTTCTTTCTGAAACAATTCCAAGACATAGTGTAAGTGTTGGCAAGCTTGCACCAAATCTGACTGCTGCATGTTTTTGTAAGACATATGGACTAAGAATGGTTTTTTAAATAGTTGTAAAAAAATGAAAAGAGGAAGAATATTTTAGGACATGAGAAAATTATTTGAAATTCAAATTTCAGCATTCATAAATCAATTGCACACAGTGACAACCATTCATTTATGTATTGTCTGTGGCTGTTTTCACACTGAAATGGCAGAAATGAGTAGCTGTGACAGACCACATAGCCCACAAAGTCTAAAATATTTATTATCTAGCCTTTTACAGAAAAAGTTTGCTGTCCCCTGATATAAAGTATGTATACTTTATTCAAGGTTTTTCTCTAAAAGATTTAGGAAACGTAATGAATTTATGAACTGGCTTTGGTGGGAGTGTGGTAGGAGATGAATCCTGCAACATTATAACACATTTTGCCTCTATAAAAATATACATTTTGCTAATGAGAATCCCAGAGAATTCCAATTCTGGAATTCCCAGGATTGTCTTCTGTGCAGGGAAAGAGATTTGCATGCTTATAAGCTAAAACCTCTTCTCCTGCATTTCCATCTGTTGGTTTTTAAAGGCAAAGTGATTTAATTACATAGGAATTTTTTTGTTTTATACTTAGTGATATGATCGCATTTAGATATTCAAATATTGACTCCAGTGGCAAACCCATTCAGGAGTACAAATGTAACATTAAATAAGTATGCAGCAGATATGTGTACATCAGAGCTATTCTCAGGTTCATTTGTGATCTGTCAGCCCTGGTTTGGAACTGAGCAACTGTGACTCTTGAGTTATAATGCATCTTGTGTTTCACAAATGATCCTGCCTAATACATTCAATAATGTTCTTCAGTTGGGCCTAAAAAGACATTTTTCATTCAAGCATTTCAATCAGAAATATCATTGACCCCATCCTGAAATATAATATAAATTTAGACAGATTCCATCATAAAACACATATTTCCTGACCTTCCACATTGCTGTGCTCGGTAGTGTAGTTGGGTCAGGGCTTGTCTATGGGAATGGACAGACCTTGGTTCAGGTCCTAATTTTGTTGCTTTCTGGTAATTAGTCATTATCTGTGCTCTTCCCTTACTGAGCCTCAGTTTACTTATCTGTTAATGGAGATAATATTATCTACCTCATAAAAGTGTTGTGAGAATTCAACAAGTGATAGTCTTTAAGCTTTTAGTACTACACCACCTGACAAATGGTTGTGCTCAATAATTCGAAATTGTTTTCATGATAACAGTTTCACACTATGTCTTTCCCTATGCTGCTTACATTTCACCACTTGCTTTCTCTTCTTCTCTTTATTTCCATAAATATTTTCTTTCTCTCACTATATTTCTCTCTCTTCATATCTCTCTTTGAAAACATTCTCCCTGACCCTCTCCCTTCTCCCTCCCCCTCCCTCTCCATCTCTTTCTCCACATCTCTCTCTCTCTCTCTCTCTCTCNCACACACACACACACACACACACACACACACATACACACACACGCATGCACACACACACTAATCCTGTGTGTATGTGTTTTTGTGAAGGGTAAGTGCAATCTCCTCCCATTATGACCCAAGGAAAGTCATTTATCAGATAGACATTATTTCAGTAATTCTTTCAACAATCATCTAAGAAGAACCTATTTTGTGCAGAAATTCTAGGTTCTAGCAAAGTCAGAATTTAACAAGACTGATGAAAGCCCAGTCCTCATGAAGCATATATGTACTCATATTGTGAGTAGGGAAAGCCAGATGATATTCACATGAACAAAGAAATAAATAAAAATTATATTAGATAATGGAGCTGTTAAAAGGGAACCAGAGCTGGGTGATGGGTTGAATCACAGGTAAAGAGAAGTGTTGATGAGCTAAGTCCTCAGGGCAGACTCTGCAAGTCTGAGACTTGATCAGATGGAGGCAGCCATGGGGAAATCTGGGGGAAGATACTGCTAAGTAGAAGGAATAACTCAGGGTTAAGTCCCTAAGGCAGGAATGAATGTAGTATACCCAAAGGACAGGGAAGAAGCCACCATGAGCAGAATGATGAGACAAGGGGAAAGAGGAAATGAGCATGGAGAGTTCTAGATCACATGAACCCAGAGGAGTTAGACTTTTATTCTAATTTCAATGAGAAGCCCCTGCAGGAAAATGGTATGCTTTGATTTATGCTTTAAAAACGTCACTTTGGTAACTTGATGGGAGGGGTGCAAGGGTGAAAACACAAAGGCTTTTTAACGAGACTTATTAAAGCCATGCGGGTTAATGATGGGGCTGGCATGCATTTGTGTGATAGTGGGAAGATGGGAAGAAGTGGCCATGTCCAGGGCATGTTGTCAAGGCAGAGTTTACAGCACTTGCCGATGGATTGGATGAGGAATGTAGGAGACAGGAATCAAGGATGACTTCGTAGTTTTGACCTATTCTGTTCCTGTCACTGGGGACATAGTTGTGAAAAGGAGTTGATCAATGGTGTAAATTGTGCTATGAAAGAAAAAGTGCCCTAAACATGGTCACAGGCAGAGCTATCTTGTATTACATAATGCATGATCTCCTTCTGGGAAGAAATTCCCATTTCTGATTAACATGCTTAAGTAATATTTCTGATTAACTTTGAAGACTTGTTCTAGGAAACCAAACACCTACCCACTCTGCTGTCAGGCAAGAGTATACTGACCTTTCATCATTCTTTTCTTCCTTTTTTTTTCAGACTTTTTGTATAAAATGTCCTTTCCAACAATGAATCTTTGACTTGGGCTACTAGAGGCCTTTTCCCTTTCAACAAGATTTTAATCAAACTTTGATATATGCTCATAACTAAGTAGTCTGAAAGATTTATTTTGGAAAGTTGTGCTCACAGACACATTCCATGGGAAAACAAGACATTTTTTTTAAAGGCCCAATATTAAGTAGGAAAAACCAACAACTAGTATTTGATATCTGAATTGTTAAAATAAAGTCCACTGCTAATAAATGTTAGAAGTAATTGCTAAACTTGGGGCTTCATGAGATTATTGTAGATATACCCTAAATTTTCTTAATTAAGATTTCTACAAAGACAAAAATTATGAAGAGTTTAGTGTTTTATTATAGTAGATTTCAAGTATCTACTTGAGTCCTGCTTCTACTCAGTAAGAGCGTGCTATATAGAGACCAACCTATCCTTAGAGATATGCTTTGCTTTTAGATTTCCAGAGCCTTATAAAGACTCAAATAAATTATCCATTTTTTCAGAGGTAAAGAAACTGAGGCCAAGAATGAGTTAATGATTATGAGGGGTTGCACAAGTTTGAATCAGGATTTGAACTTCAATCCTCAGAACGTTCCACTATGTATATACAAACCTGTGCCAGCATCCTTACAGTAACTCCATTTCATTTCTTAGTAAAAGTTATTTGCACTTTAAATGGTATTTCAGTAACTAAAATAAACTCTTTTTTTCTTTTTAAAAAAATTATCTTTTAGTTTCCCTTTCAAGACAACCTCTTTCAATCCATGTATTACCCTCTTCAATTGAAGTTTTTGGAAACTGTACATACTTTGTGTGGACGAATCCCACAAGTTTTTCTGAAGCAAATTGAGAAAACAATGAAAAGGGCTTATGAGAAACACGTCATCATCCATGGCCCCAACCACATGCGCTGAATATTTTGTATTGTTGCAAGTCAATTAGGCATCTCATGAAGGAGGAAATAGTCATCTCTAAGCTGCCTGTATCTTTTTGGTGTGAATATTTAATGGTGCTCCATGACAATTGAGTTTTAAAAGTTTTGTTAAATGTTGTTAAATTAGTTGCCCCTAAAAGGAAATATGTTTTAATTTTTTCTAAAATGCTATTTATCTCACTGGTTTTTTTAAAAATATATTATTACTCATTTAACATTGTTCAAGTAGGTTGAGCTAGCTGTGAGAAGGAACTTTTTGTTAACCTTCCAATTCCTGTTAAGTTTCTGAGAAAATAGCAGTGGCATCTGAGACAGTGTATTTATCTTGTATCCCTGCAACTCTTTCTATGCAATTGACTCCCCCATACCGTTTTGATAAAAGTATTACACACTTGTAAAACAAACAAATTTTAAAAACTTGTAGACAATATAGTTATGAACCAAAATCAAGATTGTATTAGCCATAATCTTACCAACCAGTGAAAAAGGTTGTTATTCTAGTGTAGTTCCTTCCATTTTTTTAATTTCTATATTTATTTTTTTCCCATTTCTATATTTACTTATGGCTATCTTCTATTATATCACATATATAAAACAAGTAGTCTGAGTAACAGCTGACCTCTATGCTGATAGTTTTATGTAGCAGACTAAGAAGTTACACAAAATGGTTATTATTACAGCACTTTATTTAAAATACATCTGAGATAAGCATTCAGATTTCAGCTAAGTGGGCAGTGTTAAAAGATGAAGCATTATGTGGGGGTGATTTTCTAAGAAAACTTATTTAGATTTGTGGAAGACCAGATCATAAGAAATGTCTGTGCAACCATAGCTTTTGAAGGAAAATTCAGAAATTATATTAAACCTAAGAGGTCTGTTTAGCAAAGAAATGTGATTTTGTGTTTGCTCACAGACAAAAAACATTTTATCTCTTACATCATAAGATGTAAAATATATCACTTTCATCCTCTCTTCTTTAAATTCTTGGACAATAGTTGGAAATTAAAGGCTAACTTTAAATTTAATGTGTACAGACTAAATAATTCAGGTGATCCATTGGCAAGAAAATTCAACTTCCTACCAGCCTTTCAAAGTTCTCTTTAAATTTTTGTTTTCTTCTCTAGGGTTACCTAGCTGTTAACTAAGGAACCAGGTAGATCGTATCACCTAGCTACAGTAGGGAATGTTCTACATTCTGTTTCCTAAAGGGGTTTGACTTAATCCCTAGTTGCTCACATAGCTGGTATCAGCATAGGACATTTTGCAAAAAGCTTTATTTATTTATTTATTTATTTAAAAAGCTTGTGCATAAATGATCTCCTTGATGCTTGCAACAGCCCTGTGAACTTAGTAGGGGCCTGTTATCATCTCCACTGGGTAAATAAGTAAATTGTAACACAAAGAAACAAACATACCAAATATAATTGCTATTCTTTAAGATATACAGATATGTAGAATATACATCCTGTTTTACAGAGAAATATTTGGAAACAAATATTAAATGCTTTTCATTATATATAGACAGCAATCTGAAAGTATAAAATAAAAAATATTATTTCGTTAATGTAAACATGGTATCTTATATATTGGAATTCAGTAGGACATTATACCGTGTTTCCCTGAAAATAAGACCTAACTGGAAAATAAGTCCTAGCGTGATTTTTCAGGGAGCTCGTAATATAAGCCCTATCCCAAACATAAGCCCCAGTTAAGATCATCAGCCAGACATGACTGAATAAATGTAACTTTTTGTACATGAATAAATAAATGAATAATCTTTGCTGTTGGAGCAAAAATTAATATAAGACCCGCTCTTATTTTGGGGGAAACACAGGTTTTATATCAGCAGATAAAGTCTTGCCCTGAAAAAATATATGAAAATCTCAGCACTGCAAAGAAATATATAGATAGCAATCAGTATTGGTATATAACACCTAATGGTAGTAAAAAATTTAAATCTAAAATGTTAGAGTAATAATCCATATTTTCCCTTTGATCAGATTGTGGTTTATTATTTTTATTAAGGAAATTATCATGATGTGAAACTCTTATCTTTGCTGTTGTCTTTCATGTTTCATCATTTAATTGCTAAAGGTGACGTCATTCATTATTTTATTTAATGGGTGTGGGGAAATGTTTTTATTGTCTTTTGGGTGGGGGAAAATGTTATATACCCACAAATAGGGTTTTAGTGATAGACCCAGGATGTGACCATGATTCCCTGACTTCTATTCCAGTTTTCTTTTTTTATTTTTTTTAAAGATTTTATTGGGGAATCAGGGGAAGAGGAACAGACAAGTTGCTGTTGTTTTGTTCTTCAGTCTAGTTGTGGAGGATGTTACTTCACTGGCCCAAGCTGGCACCATCATTGCGCTCTTCCTGGGCAAGGCAGATCAGTCGCCAGCCTCTGGACGGCCGCTCGCGGCGGCTGCTGGCTACACATGGTAGCTTATGGCAGCCCACTGCAGCAGGGGACTGCAGCCTACACTGTCGTTGGTGACCCACGGCAGCCCAGCTCCAGGTCAAGGTGTTGTTCAGCATCTTAGCTGTAGAGGGCAGTGTCACTGGCCCTCATATGTGGGATCCGAACCGGGGCCCTCTGGCATCCCAAGCCAGCTCTTAACCAACGCACCACTCGGCCGGCCTATATTCCAGTTTTCTTTATACTAGTTTGGCATGGCCAGTAAAACCCACAATGTCACTCAGATTTGTTGGTGGCTCACAGACCTAAAGAAATTTCTTTCCTCTTTTGGTGAGTTCCACAAAAAAATCTATAAAGACTTTGAATAGAGCAATGCCTTTTATGAGAGCCAGGTTTACTCACAACTTTTAACTCTTGGTTCTGGTCTGAACATGCAGAATAGGATTTCCAGTAAGGTCAATCATACTCATAGAATTCTAGAACATTCTAGAATGATGCATTATGAGAATGTAAAATCTTAGAATTCAGTGTCGTTTTCTGCCTTGGAATCCCTTTGCTGTATCCTGAAATTTTAGGTTTGTTTGGTGGAGAATATAGAGAAAATTGGTTCTTCCAATTCCTGCTGCCTGAAATTCTCATTATTTTCTATAGTTAGGATATTACCATGAGGAACTATGTTTTCTGCCTTTTATAGTTCCCAGAAAAATACTACAGTAGTGCCTTTGAAATTTAGTAAACACAAATTTTAATTCATTGGACTCCTAAAATATGCAATCTGTGATCTGAAGTTTGCCAGATTGTGTATTACCTAATATGCCACATTGGAGCTCTATGGGAAGGACATGAGACTGGTTCTTTCCTTTCCTGTCTTGTCCTCCTCTCTTCTCTTCTCATTTTCTTTAAAGTTCTGTTGAGTACATATGAATATGGAATTCCATTGGAGAATGAAAGAACACTTTCTAATAGCAAAATGTGACAGTATTTTGGTATGCATTGAGATTGGAATTTTTATTAGCCAGGTCACTAGAAATGCTGACAATATTTTTCTAGCTGAGTTTTAATTTTTCTAATATATATCTCAGAAATTGTGACTTACATTGAAAATTCCATATTTAAAAAATTAACTAACTAGAAAATCTACTTAAGTTTACTTTCAACTTTAAAAGTAACAATTTAGCATTTAGCATATAATGCTCCAAGCTTTATTATTTATTTGAGATTTCTATTACATTTTCAATGTTTCCACTGCAATGGCTGTGACTTTTACTGAAGTTATTATTGAAATGGGTATTTATATGAACTCATAGAGGTTTGAGAGTATTTATCTTATTTCAATTATGATGTTCATAAAACAAACAAGCCATAAAAAAATTATTTACAGTCACAAAATAGTGACCCAATAATGAAATAATCACTCCAACCAACCCGGAAGATAGGACAACATTCATACAAATTTAAGTAAATGTATAAATATTGCCTGATACTTATACAAAAAAAGAGATAAATTGCATGTGTTAAAAACTAACATGAGTATGATTTCATGACTGAATTAATATGTTGAATTCAGAAATATGTTGAATTACACAGGAGCACAAATCATTATATTCTCACTTAACAGAATGATAGAGAACCTTTCTCTTTTTTTCTACTTTTTCATCATACTCTTTTTCAGTTTTTCCTTTTCCTTCCTCTCTTCGTTGTAAGCTTCTGAGTGGTACCAAGATACTTAACATTAGTCACAGAGTGACAAAACTTGGGGGTCCCTGTGCAGGCCAGACTAAGTTCTAATCCTTCAATCTTTATGATAATAAAACTTTCCAAAAATCTTTAAAAGCACACAACACACACACACCCTCCACACACACACACACACACACACATCACATGCCTTTTAAAGATGGAACCTGCATTTCTTATGATTTTTAAATTGAATATTGTGAAACCTTTATGTCATATAATCTCGCAATTGCAGTGCTGCTATTTAAGGCCAATGAGAATTCTCTGGCAAACAAATAGAGAAATTTGTCCTAGTTTTTGTTCTTAACAGGTTGAAACTGGAAATATTCTCTTGAAAATTCAAGATAAAGCATTTGTTTGTGTTACCATATGCATGAACACATAAGAATCATATGCAACTGCTGCTTCATCAGTTTTATGTTTGTGTTATCATTGAAAAGTGCGCCCATTTTTTTTATAGATGCCAAGGAAACTGAATGCATTTTTTATGTTGGAAAACTTTTTTGTAGTAATTTTCCTTTGGGAAGAAATGAGCATAAAAAGAATACTCTAAAGAAAAGGAATTATTACAGCAAATTAAAGGAACATAAATATTATGATTTAAATACTGTCTTGTCTTTTAAAATGCCATCTCTTGTTTTACATTTTTTTAATTAAAAGCTTTAAAAAAGACATGTCTTTGGTGTTATTTTGGAAGTGTGCTTCTTATATGAGATTTCAGTTTAAAAATTTATAATATTAAATAGTAATATTTAAGTTCCTCATGTAAATAAATATTTGGTTTAGCAAGTAGCATAGCTACTTTTTTAAATCACTAAAATTGTGATTTATTAATGGCTGTAGGAAATCTTCATATATCAATAATCAGCCTAAATGTAAATGGACAGAGCTCACCATTTAAAAGGCACAAAATAGCGAGTTGGATCAAAAAACAAAACCCAAGTATATGCTGTCTTAAGGAGACACATCTCACTGCAAGGACAAACATAGACTCAACTTGAAGGAATGGAAAATGACACTCCAAGAAAGTGGTGTCTAGAGAAAAGAGGGCGTAGTCATACTTATATCAGAGAAAATAGATTTCAAGATAAAAAAGACAACAAGAGACAAAGATGGACATTTTATAATGATAAAGGGGACAATACATCAAGAAGACAAAACACATTAACATGTATGCACCCAACCAGGGACCACCAAAATATATAAAGCAACTACTATCAGAATTAGACAGAAACTGACAAAAATACAATTGTAGTAGGGAACCTAAATTCCCCATTGACAACAATGGATAGATCTTCCAAATAGAAAGTCAGTAAGGAAATAACTGGCCTTAAATGACATATTAGAACAAGTGAATATAACCAATATTTACAAAGCTTTGCATGCCAGAATATATATTTTCCTCTAGTGCCATGGAACATTCTTAAGGATGGACAACATGTTGGGGCACAAAACTAGCCTCAACAATTTAAGAAAATTTAAATCATACCAAGTATATTCTCTAAACACAATGCTTTGTAATTGGAAATAAACTGCAAAAATAATGTTGGAAAACCCACAAATATATGGAGATTAAACAGCATGCTACTAAACAATGACTGGGTCAAAGAAAAAATTTTATAAGATCAAAGTTACATAGAGACAAATGGGAATGACTATCAAACATTTTGGAATGCAGCTAAAGCGGTAGTAAGAGGGAAGTTTATGTCATTACAGGCTCACCTCAAGAAACGAGGAATCTCAAATAAACACCCTAACATTACACCCTAAAGAACTAGTAAAAGAAGAAAAAAATAAAGCCCCAAGTCAGTAGAAGGAAGGAAATAAAAGTTACAGTAAAATTAAATTAAATAGAGAACAAAAAGACAATAGAAAAAATTAATGCAACAGTGATCTGGTTCTTTGAAAAGAAATTGACAAACCTCTGACTAGACTCACTAAGGAAAAACAAACTCAAAATAAAATTATATATGAAAGAAAAGTTACATGGACACCACAGAAATACAAAAGATCATACACAAATACTATGAAAGGCTATATGCCACCAAATTCAATAATGTAGAAGAAAAGGACAAGTTCTTAAAAACATAAAACCTTCCTAGACTGAATCATCAAGAATTGGTAAATCTAAATAAATACTAAGGAAATTGAAACAGTCATCAAAAACCTCCCAAAAGTACATGTCCAGGACCAGATGGCTTCACTAGTGAATTCTACCAAACATTCAAAGAAGATTTAATACCTATCCTCTCAAACTCTTCCAAAAACTTGAAGAAGAAGCAATATTTCCTAACTCATTTGATGAGGCCAATATTATGCTGACACCAAAGCCTGACAAGGACAATACAAAAAAAAAAAAAGAAAGAAAGAAAAGAAAAGAAAGAACGAAAGAAAAGGAAAAGAAATTACAGAGTAATATCTCTGATGAATACAGATGCAAAAATCCTAAACAAAATCCTAGCAAATTGGATGCAACAATGCATTAAAAAGATTATACTTCGTGATCAAGTGGGACTCATCCCAGGGTCACCAGGATGGTTCAACATGCAGGAGTTGATCAGTGTTATCCACC